CTTTTAGTTTTTCATATTTTTGAGTTTTTACCCAATTTTCATTATTTTAAACATAAATACGACTATTTAATTAAAATAAGATAATTTTTCTGAACACATAACGTTTTATACTGACTATAGTCAAAAAATGAAATCATAACCGATGTAATAGCAAAATTTTAGAACGATATTCAAACAAAATAATTTTAATGTGTGAATAATCAACAGTATATTTAAAATCAATTTCAAAAATCAATGTAATATTAAACACTTTATCAACTCAAATATTTGTATTGATACTTGATTTTTAAAATATTATTAATAAAATAGATGTTATTGTCAATGAATGTTTGATTTTAACCATTGTTTAATATATCTACGTTTAGCATTTGTTTTTGTTTGTAATTTTACATTTTGTTTAAAATTAATAATTTTTAAAACAACTTATTTTAAATATTTAACATGATGCACAATGATTTGTGCCTCCAGTATATTAAAAAAATATAATGTAGATACATAGATTAATTTACATCATTAATTAGTAAATTGATGTACATAAATGCGATAATAAATATGGGTAATGTTTTAACAATAATTTCAATAATAATTATAATATAATTAATAATTTTACAATTCTTTTTATCCATTAATATAACATATTTTCTCAAAAAAATGTTTTGTTGATGAAAACTTAAATACAATTAGTGTTTTAATAAAAACATTTCCAAAAATTAAAGAATAAAAAACCTTTTAATTATTTTTTACTCGAATGATTTGTTTACTGTTTGCATTTCAAAAAAGTCGCCATAAGGTAAGTTTTTTATGTATATCATATCAAGTTCAAAAAATAAATTTGTGTTTTATTTAATACAGTATCAGTCTCAGTAGTTATAGTATGTCACCTCTCTCGAACTCGCAAAAATCGCACACTATGAAAATCACTTTATTAGGGTTTTTTTAACTTTTTGGACCCCCCTTTTTTAACACCCAGTGTTATCCTACAGCGATTTTTCAATTTCAAAACCTTCGAAAACCACAAAGGATGAAACAGTTTTTATTATCGATTTTCCTGGTTTTTGAGAAAAATTTCTTCAAAAATCGCAAAGGATTAACCATCATTTATATGGGTTTTACGACCTCATTTTTCAAGGTCAAATGACATAAAATTGCCTAAAATTTACTCATTTTACACTAAA